CAAAATATCTACAATTATGGCGAAACAAAAATCACCGACGACCCGGGCTCTAAAAGGGTTCTCGTTCCAAGAGGCATGAAAAGAGTGGAGAGAAACAAGGAACATTTGAGGACTTCTGTAAGTATTATGATATGCGGAACGGCAGATGGCGAACTTCTACCACCAATGGTAGTCTACAAATCCCAGAATCTGTATAACAATTGGACGCAAGGTGGGCCAGCTAGAACGGTGTATAGTCATAGCAAAAGTGGTTGGTCCGACATGAACCTATTCGAACAGTGGTTTTTTTATATTTTGCTTCCACATATCAAGGAACATAGTCAAAAGGATGAACAAACAATTGTATTTGGTGATAATAAGATAATAAGGAAAATAATATCTACATGACACCGCTCCCACCAAATTCAACCCATCTCTTACAACCGCTGGATGTCAGTTTCTTTACCCCAATGAAAGGAAAATGGAGGGCAGTCCTGGACAATTGGAGAAAGGAATCCAGACGAAAGCGGACAATTCCGAAAGAGCAGTTCCCAGCTCTTCTAAATAAACTGTGGGGTTCTGTGTCTACGACACCTAAGGCAAAGGTTTTCGAACAACCGGAATTTGTCCACCATATTATTCAAACCTCCTGATTTTCACGATTCATCTTCCACATCAAGGATGCTCGACGAGAGTCTATTAGATTTGCTCAAGGGATCTCGAGGAGCTCAAACAGATGAATCCGCCTCGCGCTACACAATCTAAGGCAGAGAAGAGTAGCGACGATCTATGCACAATATGTAAATGCATCTATTCTAAATACAGAGGCCCAGATTGGATTTGCTGTGTCATTTGCTTCAGATGGATTTGCGGCATTTGCAACAAAGCGTCAAAAGAAAATCAGTATATACTAAGTGACATATAAATTTTGTATAAGTACTTAATGAAGCATAATAAGTAAATGATAAAACTTTCAAAATGATTGCACTGCTTTAAAGCTCTTTGACCTTTAATAATAATGTGTGGATGCACCCTGATGTGCTACGCATTCTCCAACGCGCCTAGGCATGCTTCTGATCAGGTGGTCAATGTCCTCCTGTGGTATCTCATTCCAGGCAACCACCAACTCCTCTCGAAGTGCTTCTAGAGTCTGAGAGGACGTTGCAAGTTGAGCAATCTCCTACCCATCATATCCCACACGTGGTCAATTGGGGATAAGTCGGGAGATTTGGTGGCCATGGTAACAATGTGACATCATTATGTTGAAAGAAGTCTATTGTGACTCTTGCAACATGTGGTCGGGCATTATCTTGTTGGAAAGTTGGATCTGCCAGGGTGTCAAGATAGGGTAAAAGATGGGGTTCTAGAACTTCGTGGATATAACGCTGCGCGTTCATGTTACCTGGAACCATAAGCTATAGCACCCCAAACCATAACTCCAACAATGTGATGAACATGTCTTTCAACAAAAAACTGTGCATTCCTCCTTTCACCACGTCGCCTTCTAACCCTGGCACGACCATCGTGCATGCCTAAACAAAATCGAGACTCGTCACTAAAGACAATACTGTTCCATTCCTGATCCCAGAGTGACCGTTGTCTGCACCACTCAAGGCGATTACGTCGGTGTTCTTCGAGTTAAAGGGAGGACCCAGTGTGGCCGGTATGAAAAACAAGCCAAAACTTCTCATTCGTCGCGTAAACACTTCGCATGCCAATAGGTCTTCCGTGTTCTGCAAACCATTCATTTGCAATGGACCTGGTAGTGGAGAAACGGTCCCTTAAAGCCAATAATCTTAGGCGGCGATCTTCACGGTCTGTTGTTCTACGGCGGCGTCCAGTGCCCCTTGCTCTTTGCGTACGGCCTTCTCGAAGCCATGCCTGACAACACCTAACCACAGTGTCTACACTTCTTTGCATTCTAACTGCAATTGCCCGAAAAGAAAGTCCAGCTTCCCGAAGTCCCACTATACGGCCCCTATCAAACTCACTAAGTTGACGAAATCGTACAGGTCTCCGTAACCGATCGTAAAGGATGTCAAGAACCAAAATCCGCCAACGTTATTCTGTACTGCGGCTGAAATATTCATTTTTAGAGCGTTAGTGAATTAAAAAAAAAGCAGTATAAAACCGGAATGTCCAACTGATAAGGCTGAAAATTTTTTCACTTGTTATTTACAGTAAGATAAATACATTCACCAACTTTTATTAAAATAAAACCATTTAAACTGGGGTGTTCGGATTTATATGTCACTTAGTATAATACCATATATTAAGTTTAACAAAATACTTGTTCATTGCGGATAACACAGCTTTCATTGATTGAAAAAAATCAAATTTTGTGACATGAGTTTTTTGAAGTGTCTGGTTCATTTATATTGCGTTCATGTCATCTTTTAGCCATGTCATCTAACTGAATAATCATTGATGATCAATCGTTATTTTTTAGATGGATCTGGCTTTGGAAAGGATCACAAATAACCTGACATTATCGAATAGACCTGAGGAAGGTGTCAGTTGTATGTGGTTTACATAGTGTCACATTGAACGTTATCAGCAAAAACTTCAAAAAGATCTTACTCAATCCATGGACAGTCACGTTCAACGTTTCCATGTTCTGGGAATCCTGGCAAACAACTGATAGCAGTCCACAGGTCAGTCACCTGAGTCATACCTCTTAGGCCATGTAACAGATAACCCGTTTATAATCAGCTTCAGTATCCTGTTTTTAAAATCTCGATACGATCATTTGGCGCGGAGATATCTGACCTTAAGTTCAGGTCATTTAAATGAAAAAGGATCCTTTTGTCCTCGACCTCAGATATCTCGGTAACCAGTGATCGCACAGAGAATGTATGTAGGTAAAACTGGAATAAATCTCCTATAAGATTTGAATGCAATCTTGAGGTGTTTTTTTTTTGTTTCCTTAGTGCTGATTTCGAAAAAGTCACCATATAAGTTGCTTTTTTGCCTTGTTTATATGCCAAATGATCGTATCGAGATTTTAAAAATAGGATATTGAAGCTCTCTAGCACATATGATGATCTAACAGAAAACAATTTTTTAAGCTCGTGGAAGGAAGAAGGCAACAATTTTTCAAAAAATTTTTCTTGTGCCATTTGTTAGAATTACATGCGAACCATTGCGTCTAGAGTTTTTCTGGTAAAAAAACAGAAAACTAGAACCTTGAACTTGAAAATGATTTTTGTTAGAGTCTAGATACGATCTCATCTAGAAATATTACTACTATTGTTTGTATATTCTAGTAGTCTCCTGTGTACAAACCACTTGATTCCAGATCCAAATAACAGTGGAAAGCGACTGCATAATGTTGGACGTCTGCCCTGAACAACTGAATGCGTACAAATCGTGTCGAAGGACATCGTCGAATTCATATCCTCTTTCCCCTCTAAAGATGAGGGCAATACGAGCAGGTGCAGCAGTTCTGCATATTCGGCGCCTTCTTCTTCTTTGTATTCCGCCCCACCGCAAGTTTTCAAGAAAGTCTCGGACAGGGAGCAACATTACAAGGACGATCTTAGAGCCGGAGCGTTCCAGTTCGTCGATTCGAACACTGATAAACCTGATGAATTGCCGCTGCCATATCAGGTGAGCATATATCGCAGTAAAATTATTAAGTCTACGTCTAATTTTTTTTTCAAATAAAAAATCCTGCTGTCTGGAAAAAATGTGGGAAACCTATTTTTGAATCAACCCTCATACAGGGTGTAAACGTTATGGTAGTTACTATTGAAGTGGGTAAAAACAAGTCAAAAAGTTCATATGACGCATGGTCCACAAGTCAATAGATTTTCGTCTAAATGGCTTTATAGTTTACAATTTTAAGTGCTTTATATCGACCGCAATTACCACAACCTTACTAATTTTTATAATCTAATCTAAAACGTTTCTAAATTGGGTAATTAACAAATAAATGGCATTCAGTTTTTCTAAGTTAAGCCAAAATTTGTAGTCAGTAAGTTTCATTAAATTAAATATTTAAAACCCACATGGACAACTACGCGTCGGTCTTTCATCACTCTTATCGAACCGGCAATCGATCGCAAACGGTAACAATGGTTAGTTATTGTTCGCGTACGTCGTTGTGTTTATTTACAATGTTCTCGAATCATACCATAGTCCATAGAATTCTACGGGAAAATTTGCTTTATCCCTACCATGTACAACGAGTGCAGACCTTGTTACCAGAAGACTATCCTCGCAGACTAACATTCTGTCGAATGTCCTTTACGCGAGACGGGATATTAAATTTCCATAAGGGCCCAAGAAAATCCTCATACCATCGTGAAGGTCATTTCCAACAACGTTTTAAAATAAATATTTGGGCGGGTATTCTTGACGATCAGGTAATTGGCCCAAAAGTTGTTAGGAGAAGGATACCTTAGCTTTCTAGCCAATAACCTACCAGAACTTTTGGAACAGACCTTAGACAACATGTCATTACAACAGAGACAGAATTTATGGTTTCTTCATGACGAGGCACCACCACACATTTTTACAGGCGCCATTCAGTATCTGAGTGAAACATTATGGGTCATATCAACTTTTGACTTGTTTTGACTCCCGTATTACCCATTTAAATAACGACAATGCTAACGTTTACAACCTGTATATCACTTTTATTTTTCTTCTAAAAGTACCTAAGCAATTTATGTAGATAGAGCGAATCCTTAGGTGATGTTTTGGAACAAATCCTCGTTATCAGCGATGGCTTGGCGTTATCCCCAACCTCGAGCGTTGACCAAAGTTCGAGTATTCCCCGTGCCTTACAAAATGAGCCTCGGCTATCAAGAGGACTTGGTGGTGGTGTGCCATTTGGAGTACTGGTCCGAGTGCAGGAATTGCTACCTGCCGTACACGCAGTTCTACCTCTCGGAGAGCGAAGTATGTCATCTGACACTTCCTCAGGGCACGCCAAGGACAGTACGTAATATTTCATTTTGCTCACTATACCTCCGTATCATACTAGAATCGTACTTATATGCCGATGACGTTGAGTTTCATTTCTGGTTTTAAAGGAAATTTTGAGAAATCAAAATCTTGGACATGCTGGATCGAATAAGATTCTAATATATATATATATATAGTTCTAGCATGATACAGTATAGTCGGTAAACACAATAATGTTTAAAACTTAGTTCCACTATGCTTTTGAGTAATTTTGTAAATTTAAGCACCTGTCTGGTAACATCACTTTCGTAAATCATTTTGGGGTAAAATGAATATGTCGAGATAGTTTTAATTAATTTTTAGTTCTAGTCATCGTAGAAAATAATAATGTACGTTAGGTAGTGGCGTCAACGTGGCGAGTGGTGATAACAACCGTGAACGAAGGCAATAGCGATGAAGATCTTTCAAAGGACGTGGTGATATCTCCTCGCGCTTTGGCAGCCTGCATGCGCATCGATTCCTATTTCGACAAATCGCTGATCCCGCATTTGACGGCCGCGCTTTACGTGACCAAAATCGAACTGGCCCTGTACAACTATTTCGATAAAAGAGGCTCAGCATGCTCCCAAGATGCCCGATTGTCTGAAGAACTATACACCAGATTTGCTGTTTCCCGATATTCAAAGGTATGCGACAACCTCCATGCATGTTTGGTACCTGTATTTTTAATTTCTTCAGATACTGGGATAAGAACTTATTTTTTATGTTTTGGTACCAGCACCATTTTTGAAACAAAACAGAAAAATGTACCTATAAGTAAAACAGTTCCTGAACTTCTTACGGAGATTTGTAGTACTCACTAAAGTATTCTTAATATTCAGGTTTTCATGTATAATAAATCTATATGAGTCGCTTTCCAATAAAATCGTTTTTATCGTTTCAGGTTCATGTCGATCGTTTTGGAGAATCTAACATCGTATGGTCTGTGCTGGGAAACAGACGTGTTGACCGTTGAAGTGAGCTCAGCTTTAAAATGCAACGTCTTGGACTTGATGTATTGACCGAACAGTCCCTCATTGATCCGTTCACGTTCAAAGTTGAACTCAGTCTAGCGGACAGTCTCAACTGTAACATCATTTCAAAACCGATACAGGTAGGAGAATCATTGAAACAGTCGATTTCGGATAACCCCGCAACCTTGGACAATGGAAAAGTAGCAAATCTGTTGTTTGGGCTTGTTTTACTGTAGCTCACAGGAACTCCGAAATATGAACTTCCTTCTGAAGATGCCAACCACTCGTGTTGCGAAACGTTAAAATATTTTACGACCGCCTAACTACCCAAAACCCGACCAAATAACATAGAATGATGGCCGCGAAAGCCTTTCGCATCCAGTTGCAAATCTACTGAAATATCCCCGTTTGGTGCACGATTGCGCTGTTGCACTGTTCGTCGGTCGTTGCGCGACGGGTGGCGTTTACCATTTCAATTCAACAGCTCTTTTTTACCGTGCTTGATCATGTTTTTCCACTGCACATGCTCAGTCGGTTTGTAACCGTTGGAAATGTGCTGCTGGAACATAACTAATGATTACGAATGAGTATATTTGATTCCAGATCAAGCTAGGTCGACGATAGCGCACACGTTAGCCGTTTCCAGTCAGATGTGGAGTCAAAGCAACAAACCGAAAGACGCCGTTCGCGACTTTATCGTAATGACGAGATACGTCGTTTGCAACGACACCAACATGAATCTGCGTTTCGGCCAAACGGGGACCGAAGAAGCGATTTTGCTGGCCCCGAGGTGCTGTCATCTGTACGCGTGGAGGTCGCAGAGGAAGAAAGAGCAGCTCAAAGTCGCAATGGAGGAGAATGGATGGACGATGTCGTTTCCGGTGGCCGCAAGATGCCGTTCACAACCATTCACTTCAATTCGGATAAAAAATTATACGATCATCGTTACGGTCAAGTCGTTGTCTGCTACTCAAAAACAGGTAAATTCCTCCATGCTTCCAGTACGACACATCAAGTATTTAGACTTTGGCTTTATGTAGAAAATTGATATGGTAAGGTAAACACCGTTTTAATGTCCAAAGTCTCATTATTACTTTTAAAATACAATTTATGAAAGTGTATAACCATGTCGACCGGACATTCCGCGTTGTTTGACTATGAGACTAACCGCTTTCGCCATATGGTCGGGTATTTATCCCCCCTATCGACGCGTCGAGAAATGTTTCACCGTTTTCCAGATCAGTTTTGAACTTCTATGGAAGTAGCCTAGATGGAAGCAGATTTCGAAAACGTTTTTTTGGGACGTTATATGACAACCGCTCAATTTCGATGAAATTTTTACACAATGTTACCGCTATGCAAGGTCGCGTAACTGGTTGCCTAAACGTCGACTCTGTAAGGCGACTCCTCGACACTATACGAGGGCGTTATAATACTTTACGATAATAAATCTTGCCTGACTTTTCAGGTAATACTTTCTGGCCAACTGATCGTCAGCAACACTTTGCTGGAACATTTGGACCTGAAGGTAGTCGAAGAAGTGGCGAAAGATAACAAAGAACTGGAATTTAAGAACTCCCCAACTTATATCGTGCCCGGCAGAAGTAATACTTCGTCGATTTTCATAAGCAGCAGAAAAAATTATTTTCTAAGGTTGAGGTTCTACGGCTTAGATTCTGCATGGACTGGAGATATTCCTTTAAGGGAACACGGTACCGGGTCACAACCGTGGCTAGTAAAAGGGGGTTTCGGTTTAATCGTGAGATGTGTATTATAAAAAACTTCACACTATTTATCATACACTTCAGCATTCATTGAAGCTCATACTCTTGAGGTTGTTTATGTATCTTTAACTACATTAACATGCACATAAAAATCACATATCACTTGGATCCAAAATATATAGAACTTAATTTACTCTTGAAGAGAATGCTATACACAACAAGGATGTTTCCTTTATGGCGTATCAACTTATTCATATAGTCTAATCATATTAGCAAATTTCCCCGAAATAATTTTAAAGTCTGGTTTTTATGGTGCGAGCTGTTCAAGGGCTTATATCAAAATATACGTGTTTACCTTGCCGATATGAATCGAAACCGTTCCGAAAGATAAATGTTATTTTTCTGCTAAATACAAAGGTTACGATTTTTTCTTCTTAAACATGTCGTATGTGTGAGTAATTGAAAAAATGCGCTACGATATTCGAAAAACATACGTTACTATACACATTTAAAACAAAGCGTATGTGTCTATCATCTTTTGTTGTGAATTATTCACAAATACGAAATGTTTGAATTTGTTTAAGAGAAAAAACGTAACTCATCCTTTTTTGCATAAAAATAACATTTATCTTCCGGAATGGTTTGCGATTCATATCGCCAAGGTAAACTAGTTTATGTTGTTATAAAAATGCCCTTTGTGGTTATTAGAAATACAAATCCTACGAATTTGAAAAATTTCAAATATCTGCGAGAAACCATCGTCGCATTACCAACCAAATACCAAAACCTGCAGTTTGACTCGCTTTTCGGCCAACTTTTTTGTTATTAGTCGGATCTTTTACGTGTGGTCTCATTTTGTAGGTCTCGTAAATACCTAAAAATCTTATATGAAGAGTATTTTCGTTCCTGCCAACAGTTTCGATTGAATCCCTTTTTCTCATTCTTGTTAACGAATAAAAAGTTTCCCACAAAAATTGGTGTACCATTTTATGCGTCCCTGTTTTGAATACCCCCTTAAATAACTTGCAGCAATAAAACCAGCCTTTACAATTATTTCGCAAACCAGGGAATTTTATTCTAATATGATTACAGTATAAGTGCTGTGAATAAAGATTTTTATGATTATTTGCAGTTGCCTCTGCAGGAACGCGGGCAATTTCTGAGCATCTGGTGTCGCATCGTAACCGAACAAGTGCACAAGGTGAAACGCACCATGGCCATTTTGTGGCCGCTGTTCTCTGTCAAGTCGAATCTGCCGATCAGTTCGAAACGTTCACATCGAAACGCCAACGTTGAACGTTCATCTTGACGCGGTGGTCAATGGCAAAGGGGAGTTGCAACAACTTTATTGTCCAGGAAACGATCGATCACTCGCATCAATTAACTTTCAAGATCGAGTAAGTATTTTTCTGTAAAATTAGATGTTACGTTTTACCAAGTCCATCATATTTGAGCGCAGTCATTTTACGCTCTGCAAAATATGCAAAACGGGAAAACAAATGTTTTAATTTCATCACAAAATGTTGTACATTCCGAATAGCTGAAAACAGCATGCTGCTGCAGCGGAATTCATCTACCTATGTAATAGAACACCTGAGTATTTAAAACAAATAAAGCACCCTCAACATTTCAAAATGAAATTAAAAAATATTTATTGAATCTGTAATATGGTGATAATGTAAATGTTCAGTTGTACCATTTGTTCATGAATGTTGTTTTGTATTTTCAATTGTCTCTTTATAAACCTGCAAAAGTTTTTTGGGATTGACAAGGTTCTTATATTTTTTTCCGTATGACTAAATTATGTTCAAAGTTTATATTTATAAGCATTCCGTATTGATAAATGAATGTACATGTATGCAGGGTGTTCCTTAATGATATGCGAATATTTAAGTGTGTTAATCTACATGAAAAATTAATGTTAGTTTGCGTTGTAAACTATGGTCCAAAAATGTTTCCTTACAAAACACGTGGTGTTGAAGTTTTAGCAAAAATAATAATTTTTGAATTGCCCGTTCAATTTAAAACAAATGATCTCTCTTGAATTGTTTTCCTTCGATGCGCCATTTTTTGAGTAAAAAAATAAAAACCCGTTCTATTGTCTAACTTATTAAATCTTGAATTATTATTAATTTAATTGGAAAAATTAAACACATTAGGGATAATGAACAACAACAACTGACAACATAAACATAACATTAAACCAACGAAATGATTACAAAAATTTTGAAACTGAATTACTGAAAAATGGCGCATCGAAGGAAAACAATTCAAGAAAGATCATTTGTTTCAAATTGAACGGGGAATTCAAAAATGTATTTGCAAAAACCATTGGCGTACCATTTTTTTCTTGAAAAATATCGAACTCAATACCCGTACGCACGCCACTGTTAAAGCTCAACATTATTTTGCGTCGAAAAATATGCAACTTTATAAACTTTCGCTACGTACTAAATATCAGTGAAACATCTGAAGCGGTTCTGAAAATATTAATTAATTTCCATTTTTTCCTAAAACTTCAACACCCCGAGTTTTTGTAAGGAAACATTTTTGGACCATAGCAAACTAACATTAATTTTTCATGTAGATTCCACACCCTTAAATATTCGCATATAGATTTATTAACATTTTGTATTTGTTTCTAGCAATTCCGATCCAATAGCAAATCCATATGTCCCACTGAATTATACCCTAGTGGATCATCAACATTTTTTTAAAAAACCCGAAATTAATAGTATCGAAGATATCTTGAGTGAACTGAATCAATTCGATAAATCGACTTGGCCCTATTTTGGAGACGAATTAGACGAAATTGATTGGATCGTTGCCGATCAACCGTTAACGCATGTACAAGTTAGTATACCACAAACGAATAATTATTTTTTTATCAACAAAAATGTTTAATATGTTTAGGTGAGATACCGGGAACTCTTGTCAGTACTCGTGTTCTCTGTTAGTAGAACTTCTGCCATGGTGTTTGACAGTGAACACTTTGGGCGTTCCTATCACCATCCATGTTAGCGGCATCGAACTCTGCAAAATACCACATTATGGAATCGTGGCACCGCCGAAATTAGAGGTGAGTACTTATTATAACGAAAACACCGTAAGTCCAATATATAAATGTCTCTCACACTAATTATTAAAACACTTGCAACTAATTATTGCACATTTGTGACTATGTTATAGAAAAAAATAATAGTAAAAATAGTCAAATTAGATTGAAATATATGCTGAACAACAAACAAAATTATTAGTGACAACCAATTTGGATTTCAAAAACAGAAAAATACCATGGACAAAAAACCGATTTTCACATTGCTCCAGCAGTTAGGTATACTCAAAGCTAAAGATAAACAAATTTTAAAAGCTTTTTTGCGACTTTTCCAAAGCTTTGGCTGTGTAAATCAGGATCAATTATTAAAAAAATTAAGCAAACATGGCTGTACTGGACTTTCACTTTGAAACAACGCAAGAGTACCTCAAGATCAGTATTAGGGTCCTATCCTATTTTTAGTTTGTATCAATGATTTGATAAACTTAACATAAATAACGACATTTTTTATTTATTTCGTATAATATTTTAGGAGAATTTTAACATAGGCGTTGCCTCTGGCGGTACTTGGTGTTACACGGAACCTTTGCAGTTGTCCAAATCGGACTGGAGTCAATCTTTCTACATGCCTAAATTCACAGGAACGATACCTTTAGAAGGTTGTATCAAGTCCCCGATTATATGCGATTCGCATATCTGCATGTTATCCGTCACTAGCACCATCAAGAATGAGAGTAGATTGCTAAAAGTCTCTTCCACGCATGTACTGTCCAATCATATGGCAATGCAGGTAATAACATTCGTTTGAGAACTGTACCTATGAAATATACTTTGTTTGTTTGTTTCAGATTTATTTAGGCATTAATGCTACACATGTCCATAATATCCATATTACACAGTATATCACAAAATATATTATGTCTTCAAGACTACATATTTTATACAAAATTTCACACTACTATAATTCTGGTTTTCCATGAGATATTTTTTTCAATTTCTCTTTGAACATTTTCAAAACTGACACACATCTTGATATCATTAATTAATTTATTAATTCGTACAATCTCTTTTGAAATACTGACTTGCTCGTTATATTGCTACTGCAGTTTTGTAAATGAAAGTTTATACTTCCTCTAGTAGAATAATTGTGGCACTCATTGTTCAATACAATAAAATTTCTAAATGATTTGGTAGAAGATAATTTTTCAACTTGAATATGAAAATGAAACCAAGTAGACTATGCAATTTTTGATATTTAACCATTTTATTTCTTTCCAGCATAAAATTTATTCTAGTATATTTATTTTATTTAAGATGATTCTCATAGCTTTATTTTGTAATATTTGTAATTTTGAAAATACAGTTTCATTTGCAGTCGAACAATATAACAAATGCGGAGACAATGATAGTGTTGTACACAATTTTTTTAGAATAAACGCTTAGGCTATGCGAAATTCTGTAAAAGTAATTTCTTGGATTTTTTTGAAATAATATATTCAAAGTGCCCATCAAATTTTAATTTACAGTCTACGTATATGTCCAAATACTGTAAATGATTCGATTGATACAATTCTTTCATGATTAATTTTAAGAAATATCGTATTTTGATCTAAAGATTTTCCTATTAGCATATATTTTGTTTTGTTTGTGTTAGTTTAAGTTGATTTACGTTTAATCAATTTATTACGTTCTTCATATCATATTTAACAGCTCTATTGCTGTTTCAATGTCTTTATATTCGTTGTATATATTAATGTATTATCAGCAAATAGTTGAATTTTGCAGTGTTGTAAAATATCAGCAGTATCGTTAATATATAAAATAAATACTAATGGACCCAATTTGCTACTCTGTGGCACACCTACCGAAAGGTAAACACGATTCCGATCCGATAATTTTTGGCATATATGTTCAGTGTCCATTAGTAGTAAAATGATTAAATTTTCAGCTTGATTCGTCAACTGACTGCTTCTTTATCATCAAACAAGCACGCAGCCACTACAAGAACTTAACAGAAAAAGTTGACCATTTTATCACTTGTTGGCAACATAAATCGATATGTAAAAAGTTATTGAATTCTAATAAACATACGTAGGTTTTCACCTTTCTTGTCACTCAGTATATTTCAAACATATAAATATAGCTACGAACAAGCATAATCTAAATATAATTGTAGGTGCAAGTGATATGCTTTGCCGTTCCAGACGAGGAAGGGAAATTTGATATTCCAGTCACATGGAAAGATATCTTGACTTTACTGTCGCGCCACATTTGGATAAAAGGTAACTTTTGTATTTTTCTGACATTATTTCAACTTCGATTAAGGAAAAGCCTCGCTTTTCAAGTATGAAATGAACTTTCTAGACGGATGTATGTACATTTCAGCAATTCCGGCATCTCTGTGATCCAGTGGTTCACGTTGACATCTGCCGCATCATCGAAGAGCAAGGATCCGCACGCGATAACTACGCCCTGTACATGTCCTTTTCGATCGACGATTCGCACTCTCCGCACGGTTGGTCGAGTCCGATTCGCGTCGACAAACCGCTGCTAAGGAAATCGTTCGCGCTTCGTACCGGCGACTACTCTATTCCTGTGGTGCTCACCCTCGCAAGATAACAAGGGACAAACGGTCTATTTGACCATACACGAGGATGATAGGCCGCAACTGTTTATCGAGAACACCACCGGGCTACGCTGTTCATCGCGCAGGCTTTAGGTAATCATGACATTTTTGTCTCGTGGAATAAAAATCTCACTAAAAGTGTTTCATTGTGGAAAAAGCCGTCATATCCGGACCGACATGTATGTACATAAAAATACGTACCTCTTTAATGAATGCGCATACCATATCAAAAGTTCAAATGTAGTTTAAACACGCTTTAGGCTGTTTTGAAGTAAAAAAAATCGAAAATAAAAAAACGCAAAGTTGCCTAAATTTTGAATTGGAATGTTTACTTCCGACTTTTTTTTAATAAATAAGTACAGAAAATTTCTTATATAAACGCTATGTTTTCATATCTCAATATGCACCCGCAGACTCACCTGACTGCGCCTCATTACCGTTGAATATACCAATGATTACTGAAAACAGGTTGTTGCCGCTTTGAAAAAGATTAAACCCAAGGTATCTTCCACTCCAGATCTAATCCCTGCATGTTTACTGAAAGACTGTGCTTTTGTTTTAGCTGAACCTTTAGCTTATCTGTATAACCATATCTCTTAATACTACAAACATTTCCCATGGCTTGGAAAAACATCTAGGATTGCTCCCATATTTAAAAAGGCGAACGTTGTGTCATTTGAGAATTATAGAGCTGTTGTGATTATAAGCAACGTCGGTAAGGTTTCGAATGCATACTGCATGATATAATTTTCTCCCATGTTAAGCGCGAAATTTCTCCAAATCACATGGTTTCTTCCAAGGCAGATCTACTTTAACTAATCTAGCGTGTTTAAACAGTTTTGCTCTGACAGTGTGTTGACGAAGGGGGGCAAGTAGAATGTTGCTTACGTTGACTTTTCGAAGGCTTTTGATAAGCTAGATCACGGTATTTTGTTAAAGAAATTAGCTGCACGAGGGGTGACCCATCAATTCTTGAAGTTTTTAAATCTTATCTTACAAACAGATGCCTGAAAGTCGAATACAGGGGCTTCACCTCCACTCAGATTATACCTTCTTCTGGCATACCTCAAGGGTCTGCTCTTGGCCTCTGCTTTTCCAAATTTTCATTGATGACGTCGTTAGGGAGCTACACAGTAGCTGCCTTCTATATGCAGATGACTTGAAGATTTTTTGTAAGGTTGAAACCATGGACGACTGTAATATATTGCAAACGACTTGAGCAACTTAAATAAGTGGTGTCACCGTAACAAGCTGTACCTTAATGCTGATAAATGCTACACTATGTGTATTACGCGCAAACTTGTTCCAATCAGATTCGTATATTACACTGACAATTCGCAACTTAACATGTGTGAAGAGTTTCATGACTTAGGTATATCCTTTGATACAAACTTACATTTGTTTCGCATAGTGATGCTGTTGTAGCCAGGCCTATAAAAAGTTTGGGCTTCATTATCGAAATTGTAACAGGTGGGCTGAAAATTCGTATCGTTTCAATGAAAAAAATATTTTTTCGTCAAAATTCGCTTTTATTATTCACATAGTTGCCTTCAAGGGCTATACAGCGATTATAACGTTCTTCAAGTTTTTCGATACCCTTCCGGTAGTAATCCTTCGGCTTGTCCTCAAAATAGGCTTCAGTTTCGGCGATGATTCTTCGTGCTGTGAAATTTTTTTCCGGTGAGCATTCTCTTAAGGTCTGAGAAGAGGAAATAGTCGCTTGGAGCAAGGTCCGGAGAATACGGTGGATGGGGAGCAAATCGAAGCCCAATTCATGCAATTTCGACATCGTTTTCATGGACTTGTGGCACGGCGCATTGTCCTGGTGAAACAAGATTTTTTTTCTTCATTTGTGGCCGTTTCTCTGGCGATTTCGGCCTTCAAACGCTCCAGTAACACTATATAATAGTCGCTGTTGATAGTTTGGCCCTTTTGAAGATAGTCGATGAAAATAATTCCTTGCACGTCCCAGAAAACAGAGGCCATAACCTGCCTGCTGACTGTTGCGTCTTTCCACGTTTCGGAGGTGGTTCGGATGCAGCCGTCCACTCGGCCGACTGGCGATTTGACTCCGGTGTGTAGTGGTGGAGCCATGTTTCATCCATGGTGACGTATCGGCGAAAAAAATCGGTTTTATTGCGCAAAATCACCTCCAAACAGGCCTCAGAGTCGTCGATGCGTTTGTTGCTTTTGGTCAAATGTGAGATTGCGCGGCACCCATTTCGCACAGAGCTTTCGCATATCCAAATATTCATGAATGATGTGACTGACACGTTCTTTGATATGTTTAAGGCCTCAGCTATGTCAATCAACCGTATTTTGCGGTCTCCCAAAATTATTTTGTGGATTTTTTCACGTTTTCGTCCGTAACGACCTCTTTTGGGCGTCCACTGCGTGCGTCGTCTTCAGTTGACATGTGACCGGTACGAAATTTAGCAAACCACTTGCGAATGGTTGCTTCGCCCGGGGCAGAGTCCGGATAACACTCATCAAGCCATTTCTTGCATTCGACGGCACTTGTTTCATCAAAAATAATGTTTCATTAACACACGAAACTCTTGACTTTCCATGGTTTTCAAAAATAACAAAAAGTAGCGTCACTCTCGATACGATAACTCAAAAAACTAATGATCCGACAGCTGTCAAATTTTGACAGGCATCTTTTGAAGGTTGGTACTAGCTAAGAAGCGTATGGATTTTATTCTGGTGGCGCCATCTCATAGAAACGATACTGACTTTTCAAGCCCACCTGTTAGGCATTTCAATAATGTTCATACCATGATCTCGTTATATAATTCATTTGTCGATCCAAATTGAATACTGCTCTATAATATGGTATCCTGTTCATGAAGTTCACTCGAATAAAACTGAACGTATTCAGAGGCCGTTTTGTGAAATATTTATGGCACAAGGAAGATGGTACCTATCCAGAAGTTGGCTTCAGGCATGATGTATTACTTAGCAGATATAACCTCTGTAACTTGGAGAAGCGCAGAACACTACGCTGCTTGTGTATTTTTATATAAAATGCTTAATAATGCCATAGATTGTGATATTTACTTGGTAAGATTCTTAGTCATGTACCTAATGCTAAGACGCGATCCAATTCAAAAATACTTTTACTTAAACGTAGCTAGAACCAATGCGTTGCTTTCATCTCCGATATATGTAGTATGTAACAACTATGAACGTGCAAGAAACGCAGTAGATTTGTTCTTTTGTAATTTGCCGTAGCTTAAAAAGATTTTACATAACAGTAGGTTAAGTCATTTGGCAATTTTAAGTTATTTTTTGAACAATTTTGTCTTAAAATTGATTCCTGTGTTCCTATCCGTTAAATGGTGCAATAAACCGTTCGGATAATGTATATGACTAGTAAATATACTAGTAAATAAATAAATAAATAAATAATACTTTTCACTTTGAAAAAATTCAATTTCACTACGGTTTCTCTTTCTAGCAGTGCTTTTTGATGTATTCAGTGCATGATGCTTATTCTGAATAAATTGATTCCTTGCAGGCGATGGTCGCGTATCCGACGAATGTCAGCACTTCAAATGGCGATGTCGCGTGCGCAACATGGAGCGCATGTATTACACGATGCCGATTCTATCCGAGAATTCCCGGATCTGCCTCCGGCCACCGAGACCGCGTACGGGGGCGGGAGCGGAAGCAGCAGCGGGACAAAATAGCGATTGCCTGCGACCCCGAGAGCGATTTGAACGGGTTTCATTGGTCGAACGCGATCACCATACTCCATGACAATGAACAGTTCCTCAAGATACCTTATTATGGAGATATCAGGGTTAGTGATATTTGTTCAAAGTCTGTTAGACAATTAATATATTTCTGAAAACTTCTTGTTTTTAGAAGCTCTATCAGAATATGCATTATATTCTATTTAAAAAATACACGTTTACTATGGCTCGTAGTTATGGAGCACCCTGTATAACAGGGTGCGCCATCTTTTACGTCGGTATGTAAACACGAAATAACTTTGAGAACGAAAAACTGATTTCTATATATCGGGTATTTTTATTAAATATGGTCATTTACAATTTATTGGTACTAGTTTTTGAACACAACATCTATCAAGCGGCCACCTTTATTGGCCAGACCAAAATGTGCCCGTTTTGCTGCGTTTTTCATTACTTTTTCGAGCATCTCAGGTGGTGTAGCGGCGATGTTTGCCTCGAGTTCTTCAGTGGTCTGCGTACACTTGACTTTTCAAATAACCCCACAAGAAGTCCGGTGGAATCAAATCTGGAGACCTGGGTGGCCAGTCAATGTCACCTCTTTTTGACATCAGACGTCCAGGGAATTTTCGTTGCAGAAACTGGATTGTTTCATGTACGGTGTGCCATGGCGCACCGTCTTGTTGAAACCAGTAACCATCAAGACCTTTTTCACGCATTTGTGGGCAGGCATAATGAGCCAACATCCACCGATATCGATTTCCATCGACTGTTTCGTTTTGTTGAAGAAAAATGGCCCAATGATGGCCGGCCCAAACAGTCACTTTCCGGTCATGCAACGGCGTTTCGTGGATCTCATATGGATTTTTCGTCCGCCAAATGCGGCAGTTTTGATTATTAACGCCGCCAGAGAGCGTGAAATGGGCCTCGTCGGTGATCACAATTTGCTTCCAAAAATCAGGTTCAGCATCAACCATGCGAGCGACTGTTTGTGGGCGTATTCTAAGCGATGTGGACGGTCAGTTGGCAATATTTTTTGTGTTAACTGCACCTTATAAGGAAACAAATGCAAATCATCATTCAAAATGCGTCGCAACGTGGTTCCACTGATGCCAAAATGCTGATACGACACTTTTGGGTTCTGGGCAACACTGTCTCTGACCGCTTCAACCAATTCATTGGTACGTCTTGGTCGTTGATGAACGATATGTTGATAATCTAACACTGATCCGTACTCAAGAAAATTCGAAACCAAACGACGGATATTGTTGTCAGGCGGTGCCTGTTTGCCACGATACTATCGACGATATGTACGTTGCGTTAACACAACTGAACGACGATTTTCAATGATCATTGTGACTATTTCGGCGCGTTGTTTCGGTGTAAAGCGATTCATGACAAAAATTGTAGTAAATTGACGTTTCAGATACACGTATAACCAAATCGGTTGGTAAATATCAAAGTAATTCGATGTTTCAATACCGACATAAAATATGGCGCACCCGATATAATAAAATAATTCTATAGTATGCGCTAGTACCGTATTAAGGTTGCCACAAAAACAGATTTTCTTTTCCAGTTTGCTGATAAAACTAATTTCCATTTTCAATGTGACTCCCTGTAAATACTGCATGAATAAAAAATAGTAAAAAACTAAATGTAATCAAAATATTAGAAATATTCGAATGCTTTTTACTTGAATTTGATTTGCAATCTTAGTCTTGATCGTTCTTGTACATTTTGATCGGGGTAGTATATCTCTTTATCTATAAATACTGATTTTTGATTAACAGGTGAGAATAGCAAATACGGCTTGTGCGACGATCGTCTTATTGGAATCTGTTAGTCAAGTGGAGATCAGTGCCAGAGACATCAGAGTTCGTCTCCTCATGCAGGAAATCAACAATACGGAGGCTTCTGTTGGCGGAAAAATCACCGGAACCACGTCGGTAATGTTTCAAAAGTTTACAATTAAAAAACTCAAGAAAAAAACGATCCGATTGTAGATACTCAAAAGGGAATTTTGCGTAGAAACGGAGATATGTTTGAAAGAAAAGTACTCGCTAACGCAAAATCACCCAAAATTGCCTGTCATTGCAAAGATTATGACCTGTGATTTCTCAAATCCTCTGTTTACTTTTTAGAAGATTAGAGATCATGAAAGTACGACAAAATGTCATTGAAAAAATATTTAAAATATACTTCTGAATACGAAAACTCTATTAAAAGCAACTGAACATTTCGTTTGAATTTCAAACACTTTACATTAATGGGATTGAAGCCCACTTATTATTTGTTTTTCGCAAATAAAAACAGGATCAACCGATATTTTGAAACAACCAAGAATTTCAAAACTCACGATTTTTTTCAGGATACTTCGACAAAACAGGGCAAAGTCTGTATTCTCAATCCTGTCGATATATTGCTGATGATTAAAACATTGATTTCAAAACACAAAATATTTGTTCCATTTTCAATTTAGTTTGTTTCATTTTAGGTACCTGGTAATAAACGCACAGCTAAACCTAACAGCTCGGAATGCCTGGGAAGATCTCAGTCGGACACTTCGATCGTTGATGCGAACAAATGTGCGCCCAATGTTAACAAAATGTCTTCGTTAGCTGAACATCGCACTTGGCAGGGATCCAGACGAGGTAACTCTTCGCTATGCTTCCACGAATAACAACCAACTAAATTCATTACAAAAAACACAAAAATTATTTTTAAAAATACTGCATAACAAACCTTTATTATATCCGTCCAAATCGTTGTTTATAGAATGAACACTTGAATATAAAAAAAAATATTTTCTTATAACCTCATATATTCCATAAATTAGTACGATGCACAAAGTAATTTTCCTTTTGTGGCATATCAATTTATAATTGATGCGAATAATATATTATTATTTCCAGGTTGGTCTGACACTGATTTGTCTGTACTTTCTGCGACTGCCAAAGAGATGATAGCGCATACTTTGCCGATGCGAGACGTTTGGACTTCGATCACGTTCAACGCGTTTGTGAAATCTTTCGTGTTGGTATTCGTTTCTGACGTCGATTTCGACACCAAAGAAAAATGGGAGCTGATGAGTCTCGTATGTGATAATGTCGTATGCACGGCGGTGCAAATTGAAGTAGGTATACTTTTTTTTCAAGCATATATAAAAAATGGGGTCAAGTGAGTTGACTGCCATGCCAAAGCGCAAAGTCAACCTATTTGGCGCTATTTTTTTCTACGACTTTTTGACTTTAGTTTCGCACGGCTTTCGTTTTATTTGCAGAGCATGAAACTGAAAAAACAGCGTCCGACGTTCAACTTGACAATCAGCTGTACGTAAGGGAATCGTACGATTTCCCAGTTGTGCTGATCGGCCAAGAAAAGCGCCAGACTAAGAAATTAACTTCTCTGAACATTCCAATTGAAAGCCTGATCGAAGACTGTGATGAAAACGCTTTGCTCGTTCTCGAGTTTTGCTTAGAAACCTGGTGTGATAAATTTAGAGCCGCGACGTGTACCGGTAAGACATTTATTATGCATTTTTCACGTTTTTGATTTGTCTAACATCAGTCCGACGCGCAAAAAATCTTCATTTCTGTTTGTTTTAGCTGTGAGATCTGTGAAGGTTACATTGAATCCGTTATCGTGTTACATAGAGGATATTTACGTTACAAAACTGATGGAATACTTCAATATGTTTACTCCAAATATGTTAGTGATATTACCAAAGCAAAAGTCGGAAGTTAAACTGAACGTTCCTGCCGGATCGGTGAGTTTAGTCATCAGAATATTTTTTTCTTCTAAAGTCAATTATTCTTAAGAGTGTTTTTGTGATCGTTTTTAAGGTTTTTGTACCAGAAGTGTTGTCGTGGCAATGCGCAGTGTTAGCGAAACCGTTGACCGTGAGGAACGTCCTGATAGCCCCAATTTCTCTTCTATTATCCGTACATAGTTCTATCAAACTGTACATCGCCTTGGATCAGAGTCCTCTGCAGTTCGGCAAATTCGAGAGGAAAAGGATCCTAACCACTCCTTACAGGTATATGCATTGCACTTTTGGAATCAATGATTTATTTATCTTGGACCATTGTTGTATATCATTAAAGATGACTTCACTCAGAATAAGTCAATTTCAAATGCTTCTCAAGCTGATTAGAACAGTTGTACTTTGAAAAGAGCCACCGTAATTCATACGTATGTGTTTGTCCTGCCTCTAATTTGTCATACAAAATGGAATAATATGAAAATATTTGAAAAATCAACACGCTTTTTATGAGGTGAAATCGAATTTTTTTTGATAAATGAAGTTTGGTTTATGCCATTTATGTATAAAGAATAACATCAGTCATGGGACCACCGCGGCTTCGTTTACAGGCCAACATCCGAACATCAAAATTTTCAATGACTTTTCCCCGAATAATCGGGTCTATGGCCGCAATTTCAGTTCGAATATTGCGCTTTAGGTCTTGACTTGTTCGGGGACCATTCGCATACACTTTTCCTTCCCAAAACCCTCAAAGAAAATAGTCAATAGGTGTTAAATCGCACGATCTCGGGGGCCAACTGACATCTGAATTTCGTGTTTGACGAGATGTGTGAGCCGTTGCTTGAAATCAACGATCGTCGGCAACAATACGATCCAATTGTGGCCACAAAAAGTCTGTTAACATGCCGCAATAACGTTCCCCGTTGACGGTAATAGCCCGTTCTTCGGCATCTTCAAACAAGAATGGTCCAACGATGCCACCAGCCCATAATCCAGACCAAACAGTCACTTTCTCAGGATGGAGAGGTTGTTTATGATATTGGTGTGGATTTTCAGCCCCCCAGAATCTGCAATTTTGCTTATTTATGTACCCATTGAGGTGAAAATGAGCCTCATCAGAAAAGAGCACTTTGGCCGAAAATCCGTCTTCTCTTTCCGGCATCAAATTAACAAAAACACGCCGCTGTTGATAGTCTGCCGGTTTCAATTCTTGTGTTAGTTGAATTTTGTATGGATGGAGGTGTAAATCAATATGTAAAATCCGACGTAAAGTGGTCTCGTTAATTCCCAATTGTTGCGAACGGTGCCTAGTCGAGGTGGTTGGATCTTCTCGCATACTTTCACTCACTGCGGCTTTGTTTTCACGCGTACGAGCTGGGCGAGCATGTTGGTATGGTCTACGACCTTCAGCTGAACCAGTTTCCTCAAAACGATTAACAATCCAACGAATTCCAGGCTTTGCAGGGCATCCATGTCGGCCAAAACTAGTGCGAAAAGTATTTTTATATTTCGACCGTTTTCGTAATAAGTTTGGATAACCAAAATGCGTTGTTGCGTTGTAAACGAATCCATGACTATAAATGGCATACCTTTGACAGTTCATTTATGCATACCACGTGACTTTTGACTCACATGGTAACAGATAAACTTATAGGTAAAAAAAAGTAATGGATGGCCCATCCAGTATAATGAAAGCCAGTTATTTCGAAAACGAGATGGTTATTAAATTTTCTGAATCTCATTTTTCTTTCTTAAAAATTTCAAGCTCTATATTTTTATAAAATGTCTACTTCGGCTGTTTTCGATCTACCTTCAACTATGTTTTATTAAGTTTATTGCTGGTTTCAGGTTAGGGCATGCTCTGACAATGCATTATCTTTCCGGAGCTATTTTCGGAGCTGGTTGGGTGGTTAGCTCTTTAGAGCTACTCGGTAGCCCAGGTGGACTAGCCAGAGCTATGGGAACTGGTTTGAGAGATTTTGTCAGCTTACCTTGTAGAGGTAAAACTCGTTTACCTTTTGACTACCCTATTAAAAATATACCTAAAGTTTACTCAAGAGAAAAAATAGCTGTTTGAACGTCTCTTTTCGAGCTTTATTGTATAATTTAAAAAGATTTTATTGAAATGATTTATATTAGTAGCAAGTCAAATATGTATGTATGTATGTCAGGTATCTTCGTGGGACCCATGGCCTTTCTGAGGGGCATCACCCAGGGCTCCGCGTCCTTGATGCGCCATGTTACTGCCGGTACTTTACAATCTGTCACCAAGTTGGCGTCCAGCGTTGCCAGGAATCTGGATAGGCTTACTTTGGATGAAGAGCATGAGGAGGACAGAGGAGCAGAGACGGCAAAGACCACAGGGGTTAGCTCAAGGTTTTATGCAGGTCAGAATAATGTTATACGAATCTTTT